TATATTATTTTAATAAAGTATTGCGAGAAAAGATAAAAAATAATTTAATTTAGACTATTAAAATAAGATAATTTAATCTTTTTTAATAAAAATTTCTTGAAACGATATAATTTTAAAATATTTTTTTTCTTAACTCTTAAGAAGTAAAGCAAAATAAACATTATTCTCTTAATTTTTTTCTAATTTATTAATTAAATAAAAGTATAATATTCACTAGCTTTCCTCGCATTTCCTTATTTTTGCAGTGTCAATCCTAAAATGGATAATGACTATATAGATAATTTTTTGTATAATTTTTTTATTTAACTTTTATATATTATTAAATTATATATTATTAAAAAATAAATATATACAATATCATATGTTGTAGTATAATGAAAAGAATTAATCATTAAATTACATGTAATATATGAAAATATTGTACAAAACTGTAGCCTCTCAATCATTTTTTGTCTTAGATTAATATAGTTTTTCTTATTAAGAGTTTGTTTCATATTACTTTTTGTTCTTTTACATTTTAAGAGGGAGAAAAAAAAACTTTTTCTAGTTCAACTTTATCATTATACTTTAATTTTATCTATCACATTATAAAAAAAAGTATCTCTCTATCTTCATCATTTTAAAAGGGTAATATAAAAAAATATTTATTTTAAAATTCTTAATCTAAATATAAAATTAAAATACTTTTATTATTTTAAAACAATCGAAGTATCGATCTGAACGAAATTAAAACTAATATCCTCCCCTTTCGCATCTTTCCTTTTCCTTCCTTTTTTCTCCTTTCTTTTACAAACTTTTGTCCACACAGAACTTAAGGCTTTAAAATCTGCAAAGGTTGCACAAAGTGCAGCAATCCCAGCTCCCTATACTGCGTTCGATTCCCATTTCCCCACCAAAAATAATTGTATTTGTTATTATGCGCTAAATGACTTATTAGTGATCTTCATTATTTGAAAGTAAAAGTAAAAGATTTTAATTTTGATAGAATCACATAATATATAAGTATAATAAATTTAAAAAAAAATTATTTTTTATTTTACAACTTAAAATTAAAAAAAAAAAATTATTTCTCTTCAAAACAAAATTCTATAATATAAATGCAGTTTAGTCTCATTTATCCCTCATTTCACACTACATGAAAATTACAAGATGACCCACCACAAACGGTGCAGATTGCTCCCTATAAGCATTAAAATCAATTGAAATTGACATGGGACAAAAACCTGAAAAAAAAAAAGAGTAATTTTTTCTCCCATAATAGAATTTAGATTATAAAAGATACGTAACTGCAGAACATTGTTATTGAAACTCTTTCAAAAAATTAGACGTGCCTCTTAATTTGATAACTACTAAATCTGTTTTAAAATAATTGTTATTTTTATTTTTTAAAGGATAAGATTGGTAAGATAAAGGTATTTATTAGCTCCTTTTTTTAGAAATTAAAAGGAAGGAAACGCAAGAATGTTGTTTCAATACATTTTTATTAAAAAACTAAAATAACTTATTTTAGAATTAGAATTGAGTTTGTTTCAAAATTTTTTTGATATTTTAATAAAATGACATAATTTTATAGTATTTATTTTTTTAATTTTTTTAGAAGCATGATCGACAAACACCAATCTCTATAGATAGATACAGTGTTTTTGGACCTGGCTCGTCCTGGCTAGATCGGTTAAACCGATTGAACCGGACCCGAGCTTGAAAACGAGCTAAGCTCGTACCTTAGCCCATTGTGCAAGTTTACCCGTTTTGGCTCGCTGGGGCCCGCCCAACCTGCTGGAACTGTTGAAACTACCTAACCTATCAAGCTGAATGAATTTGGGTTTTTAATGACTTAATATTAATTAAATTAATTTATTTGATTTTTAATATAATTACCCACACCATGAACTTTAATTAGAAATTAAAATCTCACATCAATTAAAAAAACAAAACTCTCAGAGGATCAGGTATTCCTATTTCACTACAAATTGCAAAAGCAAACCAAAAGAAATCAAAAATAAAAAAGAGCAGGGGAAGAGAAGAACAGCACCACCAGACCACCCGTGCCACGCACCAGTCACAATCGCCAGCCTTTCCTTGCCCGATCTCAACCACCTTTGTCTGCGACTGCCAATCCTTTGTCTCTATGCAGAAGCAAAACCAGAAAGCAAGCCCTTCATCAGAGCAGCGAAGCAGCGAAGTTCATCTATGTGCAGAAGCAACCAGAAAGCAGAAAGAAAACAGAGCAGCGAAGTCACTGTCAACCAACTACCTCCCCGATCTCAATCGTCGGCAACTCCACAAATGCCTCCCCGAATCTCAGCCCTTCACCACTGCCCTTCCTCTCCTTCTTCCACTGACAGAACAGATTTGCATTTACATCTACCTCTTACCTTTGCCAGTCACCGTCCTCTCCTTCTTCCACGATTCCACCAACAGATTTTGATATAAATATAAAATCTAATAAAAATGTAAAGAAGAAATGTCTTTTAGCAATCGATTGAACCAATCAAGTGAACCGATTCAACTGGTTAAACCAGACTTGGTGGCCAAAACGGGGCAACCACCGGGCCGAGTACAAAAACATTGGATTACATATAAATTGTACCTAAAATTTTAATTTGAAAAAGGAAAAGGGTACATTCCAAAAAATAATTGAAGTTTTAATTTTAAATTACATCATTTTATTTAATTAAAAT